CTTCACTTCATTCACTATGACTTGGTCTTCCATAAACCCCCTTACAGAGATATTCCGCCGAAAGCAGATTAGATTTCCGTTTTGAAGGAGCATTTCTTACTTTCTATATTTAAACCAAAAGACCATTTTCTTCATGAACTAGATCAGAACATCTAGTACTCATTTCTCTGATTCAAACCAAGTATGAACAACATTGTCAAATAACCATTATTCGAATTTTCTTGTTTATGATTTTAAACTACTCTTGTTCAAACACATTCTGATTGCGGATGACATCTTCTGCTACCTTGAAGAAGCGAAATCAAAGTATTTACTTCATCTATTTAAGGTATCCATTTTATCGTTCTGCGTAATTTTCGTTCGAACTGGCTGCAGACGGTGTATTGTGGCCATTGAAATTGGTGTTTGATGATCTTTACCTTAGCCTAAAACCGCGCGAAAATTTCCAGAAGCAGTTTCAAACAACAGTCTTCACCCCATCATTGTACAGAAAAGTGTCGTTTTTGAGGCGAAACTATGACTACGTGACTCTTTTCCCACCCCAGAAACTGATTTGTAGAAAATTTGCCTAGGCTGTTGACTAAAATGCCAGACAAGGGTAGATATTTTAGGTTCGCATAGTAGTGTTTTCTGTGAAAGTGCGGAGAAATATAGTCGATTCCTACCACAAGATAACAAAAAGCTTGCAGACAAAGGGGCGGCGCGCCGATGCCTCCGAGTTTCAAGAGCGAAAAATTAGGAAAGCTGTTGTTTCTGCAGCTGCGAAGGGTAGTATGTAAATTTTTCATAGTTTTTCTTTATATTTCTTTTCTCCAAGCAGAAGGTACCAGCTGACTACTCAAGCGGATGTTTGGTTGCCTATCTCCTTCGGTAAGTAGAAAATGGTCCATTTGCTGGTGTTCGCTTTTTTTGCTTACTGTATGAGATAGGCAACCAGACAACTGCTTTAGTAGTCAATTGGCACATTCTGCCTGAAAAATAAAAGAATTATAAAGGAAAACTCTTAGAAAACCCGCATACAACCCTTCACGGCTGCAGAAACAGCTGATTTTCGAATTTTACGCGCTCGAAATTAAAGGCGTCGGCGCGTCGGCCTATTGTCTGCAAGCGTTATTTTTATATTGTGTTAGGAATCGAAGGGAATCAAAAATTACAATTTGACTTGATCTAGTAAAGTCTTCCAGCTGATCGCAAATATCACGTGCGCTGTTGTTTAAGATGAGGATTGTATCTTAGGTCCGAGTCGCCAAAAAATGTTGTTGAGCT